CTGATTTAATTAAAATGACTTTATAGCCATTTGGGGCACCAGGAAAGAGAAGGTAAGGAGTGTATATGGGAGCCTTTGTTTCCCACGGTAGGAAATCAAAAAATCCCTAAAACTAATACATAAGGACATAGTATATAAACGTGTCCTGCCAGTGAGTGTTAGACATTAGTGCTTTGGTAGCAATTTTACAAAAGATGCACGTGCCCTCTTGGGGAAGGGAAGGGAAGGAAAAGGAAGGACCCAGCAGGTGGGTCCCGAGAGCAGAGGACCCCTTTCCACAGTCACTGGCACTGCTTCAGAAGTGGAGACCGTCCCAGAGGCCCTGACGTGCAGGACACCAGCTTGCTCACTGGGCCAGCGTGCTGCCTCCTAGAATCCCCCTGCACAGAAGAGCTTTAGAACGATCAAAAGACAGATGCATTTCTTAGTAAACTCTGAGTCGTGTGGTCTATATTTTCGGAGGGGATGGAAAGGTTGTGTTGGTTGCCCGTTTCTTTAGTGCATTTGCGACCACCAGAGAAATCAGAGGGAACAAAGCGGGGAGAAAAAAAGAGCCATAAATACAAACGAATCCCCTTTCCACACGTTGAAGAACCACAGGACATGCTCCATTTTTTTTTTAAAACACTCCAGGTGTGACCGGAGATTACGGTATCCACACAAGAGAGTGGAGAGTTAATTAAAATGTTTGCTCCTGTTCCCAGAAAGAAAGGGCTTTTCGTTTGCTAAGCAGGCTGGCTTTGGAGCGCTGTTTGTGCGTTCCTGTCCTCACTGGAGTGTCACAGGAAAGCAGATCAAAGAGAGCCTTCCATCCGATGGGCTTGCTACCCGCTTTCTCAGCTAACGGACTTGAAAGCTTCTTCCACTGACTGCATGGGGCTCATATCATATTTTCCAAGTGTCGTCTTCTTAACTGTATTGATGACATGCAAACTGGCTTTGATAGGTGCTTTGTGGAAAACCACATTTTCCATGAATTAAGTCAAGACCAGCCCAGTCAGAGTGGGAAGGTGGGGCGGAGTGAAACACCTCGCCCCCCTCCCGCTTGTGTTTTCCCGCAGCCCGTCCCGGGGCGGCCGGCTGGGAGCGCGTGCGGTGAGCCCTCAGCTCCCTCAAGCAGGGTCGCGTTTTGCTGTTTTCTCTTTTCCTTTTGGTCTTTGTGTTTCTCTGCCCTCTGGCTGACATCCCCCACCCCGAGGGCAAAAACTGCTGGGGAGACATCCTGCCGTCTTTCTGTTTAAGACGGTGAGTAACTGGAATGACACGGAGCGAAGCAGAGCAGCCCAGCCAGGCCGGTCTGGGCAGGCGGGTCGGGCTGCCGGGGGGCTGCCCATTGTCCTGCCGCGCCGGGCGCCCGAGGAGAAAACCCAGCCAGGGCACAGGCACCAATGAAAGGACTCCATCCTGCCACTCAGGGCTTTGTGAGTGCCATCGCTTGTCCTGGTTGCCATGGCTACTGTCTGATGGTGGCGGGTTTGTCAGCGTGCTTGATAAAGTGGGAAGGTTATTCTTGATAGAGCCAAGTAATCATAACCTCGCCAAGCTGGAGTGTGGCTTGCACATTTTCTCCCTCCTCTCTCTCAATCAGAGACGCAGGGCTGGGGGCTGGGGTTCTTGGGATAAAGCAACCTCGGCAGGGGGTGAGGGCCTGCCTGGCTCGAGGGATGCTGGCCGTGCTGGCCGTGCTGGCCTGGAAGGGAGGTCCCCAGGTGCTCAGGGGGCCGGCAGAAGCGGGGGTCGTTGGGTCATCTGTTGTCATCTCTGGCCTGAGTGGAGGTTTCAGGGATGGGGCCAGAATGGGGTCTCCTCCTACCCCTCTCCTGGAAATTGTACTGGCACCTTCTCTCCTCCCTTCCTGCTCCCTGTCCTGTATTAACCCCTCTTCCTTTCCTGCTCCTTTTGCCCCGGCCCCTCCCCGCTGCTTTGCTCCCCTGCCCTCTCCCCTCCCCCTCCCTTTCTTTCTCCTGCCCCAATAGCAGTAACAGAGCTGAGCCTTTGAAAGTCTCTTGACTTTCTCCTCTCCTGAAGAATGAAAGGGAGGGTTGGATGAGGCTAACAGTTGATGGATTCTGGCCACAGAACTGCAGACTCTCTTCTGTCATCAGAAGAAACCTAATTGATTTTCTAGGCAGTGTCCTCTCAGACTTACCTGCATCTCAACTACTGGAAATGCCGTTTAAAAAAAAAATTAAAGAGGGGAGGGTATAGCTCAGCAGTAGAGCGCATGCTTAGCATGTGCGGGGTCCTGGGTTCAATCCCCAGCACCTCCATTAAAGATAAATAAATACGTAAATAAACCTAATTACCTCCACCCCATTAAAAAAAAATAGACCTGCCATATAATCCAGCAATTCCATTCCTGGGCATATGTCCAAAGGAAATGAAAACACTGACTAGAAAAGACACTTGCACCCCAATGTTCAAAGCAGCACTATTTACAACAGCCCAGAAATGGAACCAACCCAAGTGTCCATCAAGAGATGACTGGATAAAGAAGATGTGGTACACAACACACACACACAATATATACACAGTGGAATATTACTCACTCGTAAAAAAGAATGAAAATTTTGCTATTTGCCACCACGTGGATGGACCTTCAGGGTGTTATGCTAAGTGAAATAAGTCAAAGAAGGACAAACATTTCATGTCTTTACTTGTATGTGGAATCTAAAAAATAAAACAAATGAACAAATAAAAGAGAAACAGACTTACAGATAGGGAGAACAAACTAGTGGGTACCACTGGGCAGAGGGTGTGTGGGGAGGGGCCAGATAGGTGAAGAGGATTAAGAGGTACAGACTACTAGGTACAAAATAAATAAGATACAGGGATGTGATGTACAGCACAGGGAATATAGCCAATATTCTGTAATAACTTTATATGGTGTATAATCTATAAAAATATGGACCTACTATGTTGTACACCTGAAACTAATACAATATTGTAAGACAACCATACTTCAATTAAAAAAAAAGAACAAAGCAGATTCCTTGGCCCCACCCCCAGCACTTCTGGTTGTGCTGGTTTGGGTAGGGTCCTAAGACTCTCCGTTTCTGACAAGTGCCCAGCCAGGTGATGCTGCCAGCTTGGGGACCTCACTGACACAGGCCGGCCAAGACTAGCTTTATACAGTTGAGGTTCCCCGAGGGTAAGCTGCTGGCCTGGTAGCCACTCTGGAGTTCCTAGAACGCCTCTTCCCCAGCTCTGCCTGTCCATCTCCGCCTCGTCCCCGAGCCCCAGGAAGCTGGCCCTGCCAGTGGGCCATTTTATATGTCAGTGACTTGCGTGCTTGTGCCATGGCCTCAGCAGGACTTGAACTCTGGCCACAGGCCCGTGTCTTCACCCACCTCCGAGCCACCCCGGCTCCCAGGTACTGGCTGGATGAGTCCTGTGGCCACCTTGGCTGGAAGGAACTGGGCCCGTGTTGGAGGCGTTCTGAAGTCACTGTCGGGCGCCAGTGTGGCAGAGGTGGGGGTGCAGCGTTTGCGTAGGATGGGGCACTGGGGGCAGCGGGCTCACCGCGGGGCATTCTCCCTGTGGGAGGAGGACTGAGTCTTTTCAGTCGGTTTAAAATGAAACAGCTTTCGTTTACTCTGTCATGGCAGAAGGTGTAACCCAGGTGAAGCTCCCTTTGTGTGTGTGCAGGGGTGTGTGTGTGTGTGTGTGTGTGTTGCCGCAGTGGTTGGGTGCAGAGGACCCCATCTTTTGTCAGACGTAACTGACGTCCCCACGCCACGCTCTGGGCCCATCCGAGCAGTGTCATCACGGGCCCTGGATGCGTCTTGGAGGCGACGTGCTGGCGCTGCTTGGGTGAAACTCGGGCTCTTTGTCCAGACAGGATTAGTGCAGAATGAATGGGTTCATCCGTGGGCTCTAGCTCCCTGCCGAGTGCCCAGACCGAGTCGGGCCGGAAAGAAATCCCGCTCTGGCAGTTGGGCTCCGAAGTCTTTAAGCATCTTTGGAGCCTGAGCCAGAGCAGGGCCCCCGGGTGCAGGGCATCCCGCCCCTTCCTGCTGCCTGGAGCAGGCGGGTGCGGAGACGCATGCTCAGGCCCTCAGGCGCTGGCTTGAGGCGGTCAGCCCTCACGTTGGCCTTTCTCCCCAGGGTGTCGAGGTGCAGACAGACTACGTGCCCCTGCTAAACTCGCTGGCCGCCTACGGCTGGCAGCTCACCTGTGTGCTGCCGACTCCCGTGGTCAAGACTACCAGGTAACAGTAACAGTCGTCGCTCTAACTGAATACTTACCTGTCCCAGTAGGCTCTTTGTGACCTAGACCTGGCGTGTAGGCCCTTGCCGCGGCACGCCCTACAATTTCAAGTTCATCTGTCCACTCTCAACTCTGCCCGCCATCCCTTGAGCCCATGGGCTTATATGGGCTTACCAACCCTAAAAAGGCCTTCTGTCTGTCTTTGGGTTTGCTATCAAGCTAGTCCTAAGTACTTGTTGGGTAGTGAGCAGAAATTTGGTTCCCATTTTATAGATGAAGAAACTAAGGCTCAGAGAGGCTTCATCACGTACCTGAAGCCACACAGCCAGTAAGTGGGGGAACCTGGGACTAGAAAGTCAGTCTGCAGGATCAGGCAGTCCTACAATGGGCCGCCTCTTTGCTGACCTAGGGGGAGACCCCTCATGGCCCTCAGGGCTGCACCCTCCCCAGCCCCACTGCCTTCTCACCACTGCAGGATGACGGACAGCATGAGGCAGGGCTGGTGATCTGGGCAGACGGCGGGTGGTGCAGCCCTAGGGCACAGGCTGAGGGTGCTGGTGCCCATCCCTGCCTCTCTGGGGTCCTTACCACGTCTCCCCTGACACTTGGCCAAGTGGAACTGTGCACCTGCAGGAGCCAGTCTGCAGCTGCCTTTGGCCCCTGGACCAATGGGAGCCTCCCTATTATTTCTCAGCCAAGACTTGAATGGGCTCAGGGTGGTGGAGGGGAGAGAACCCTGGAGCTGTGACCTGCAGGCTTGAACCCCAGTCCTGAGTCTGCCACTTGCTAACTGTCCACCTTGGTCAAGTCCACGTAGCTTTTTCCTAGTCTCTGAGACCAAGAATGCCTGCCTGTCTTCCATTCCAGAAGTCGAGAGCCACCCCCTGAGAATGCATTTGAACGTGAAGCCCCTACTAGTTCTGTGCTCTCAGCCAGGAGGGTGCAGACGGTTCTCTTTGTCTCTGTCTTGGGTGGTCAGACCTAAATAAGCCTCCATAATCCTCCACTTTCCTGGGCCCTAAATTCCCTTGCAGTGGAGAGGAGAGGGTGTGGAACCAGGGGATCTTTCCCTGAATCCCTGTGATGTGACCCCAGGCTTGCTCCTTGACGGAGCTGTCTTGTCGTGTCACTAGAAGAGGTCCTGTGGCTTGGAGCGCGGGGTGAACTCACCCAGCCTGGCCCTGGCACAAAACAGGAATGTCAGTGCTCCCCCCTCTTTTCCTCCGACACCCTGTGTAGTGACACGTCGCCTCGGCAGAGAAGGCGTCTGCACAATAGCAACTTAAGAAAGTGGTCTCCTTTACAATATTTCTAGTGTCTCTAAAGGTAGCCTGTGGGGTCCTGCCAGCCTGGGAGGAAGCGGTGCTCCCTGTGCCAGGAAAATGAGCAGCACCTGCAGCCCACTTTGCTGATGCGTCTCTGCCGCGATGCCCCCCTTGCCCCTCAGCCCTGCTGCTCACAGGGGACTCACGTAGTGGCCGGGACCCCAGCATAGCCAGGCCCTCTGCCTGGGCTCCGGGGACAGGTGACGGGACAGCCCGTCTCTCGGTTCCTTACTGTGTGCCCGCCCTTGCCAGCCAGCCCCTCCGCAGCCTCATTGCCAAAGGCAGACTTGGAAGAGGCCTCCCGCCCCCCTGATACTCATGGAGGAGGCCACTTTGTCATCATTTGGCGGAGATAATTAGCTGTCATTTCACATCCAGGGAGGGGGGCCTTCAGTCACAAAGCTGACTTTCAGGGATGTCCACAGAGCCTTTTTGGGGCCCCCAAGATAGCCCCACGGAAGCCAGGGTGGATGGCCTGGGGGTGGGGAGGGGTGAGGGGCTTCTTGACCTCTGCCCCCTCGGTCTCCGGAGCAGCCTCCCTTCCCTCGGGGGGCTGGCTAGGGGCAAGTTCAGGATGGCGGCCTCTGGGTGGGCTGCGGGCCACCCCCGGGTATGAGTGACTCATTCTAAGCTCCACATGTGTTGCAGGGAGGGGAACATATCCACCAAGCAAGTTGTCTTTCTTCAGAGACCTTGTCTACCTCAGAAAATCAAGAAGGAATCAAAGGTGAGTGACCTTGGCTGCTTTGTGCATCAGCCACAGCACTGTGGCTCGGCAGGACTTCGCCTCTGACTGGATTTCTACGGCGGTTGGAGGGCTGCCTGCTCCACCTGCCAGCAGCTCTCAGAGCTCGGGGACACCTGAGCCACTTGGCAGAATGCATCCCACACTCCTGAGGCTGCCCCGAGTCGGGGTGGCGGAGGGCCTCGCCTGCCCCCTCCTCCTGCGGGGATGCTCGGGCCGCCAGCCGTGCTGCGAGGCTGAAGGTAGGGGCGCGAGGCCAGCCGCAGTCTGACCAGGGCTGGGACGGTTGAGCTGATGCCTGGCTTCTCTGCATCTGTTTCCTGTTACAAGCTGGTTGAAGCTCGGGCCTGCTCCCTGGGGCCATCAGAGGTGTGGTGATATGGGCAGAGAGAACCTGCCAGAACACCCGCCCCGCAGGTCTCTGAGTGACAGTGGCTCGTATAGACGGAGGACAGCCCTCCCCTCACCCCTGCGGAGTGAGTCCTCATCCCAGGGCTGCCCTGGGATGGCCAGGGGCCTCCCACACACACAAGCTAGACGACACATGAGCTGCCCTGAGAAGTGTGGCCATTCTCAGCATGTTTCCCATGGTTCCTGAGGGTCAGCCCGAGTCCTCCCCTTGAGTGAGATTCTGCTCTTTGCATCCCCATGCTTTGCCCATAGTGGGGGCTCCTCCCAAGGATCATTTGGGAAGAGCTGATGAGTCCAGGGAACCTGCCACACTGGGCAGGTGTCACCTGGAGCTGCCCGCTGCCCTGCTGATGGCCAAGGCCACACTGCTAGGCAGAGACCCGGGACCCGCCCATCCCCTAGCCTGGCACCCTCCCCGAGCTCCCTGCTCGTGGTTCCTCGTGTTCTTTGGACACAGAGCCAGGAACAGGAGCATCGGGACAGGAGCACAGATTGGAGCAGCCCCTCCCCAGCCAACAAATCCAAGGGGGCCACTCATGGGAGGACGCCAAGGAGATGGCCCTGTGAAGCCAGGTGGGGTGGAGTGCAGAGGAAGGTCTCGCTCCAGCTCGGAGATGCTCGTGTGACAGGTGGCAGCAGTAGAGAACCAGAAGGCGGCCGCCAAAGCCACCATTACCCGCCAGGAGCAGTCAGCCGCCAGCTGGAAGACGGATGGCCCCGCACCTCCACCAGCCGCAGCTTGGCCAGGGCTGCGGGGACCGCGTGCATTCAGAGTGACATTCCAGCATCGCCAGCAAGGTCTCCTGCCAGACGCCCGGCTTCTGCCGCCCCTTACAAGGAAGGGGCAGTGCCGTTTCTCACCATCCCTTCCTGCTCAGTCATGGTGCCAGCAGATCCCAAAGCAGAGACATGCGGTTTGATTCTGGGGAAGGCTCTGCGTGTCACCAAGGGGGCCAACCAGGGGAAACTCATGTGGCTGGGGGTGTTTTCAAGGTGGCGCTCCAGGGCTGCTGAACAGTGTGCCTCGGGGGGAAGCCAGGAGGTGGGAGCCAGGTTTCTCAGGTCAGTAGAGGTGTCCACCCGCAGTGAGCTGTACAAATCCTGGCAGCCTGTGATCTCTTTGAAGTGCTTGCCCATCCCTGCCCCCTGTGGTGGGGATGGGCTAGTGAGGACTGCTGTTCTGTGTGTGACCCAGGGAGGTCACATCGCTGGTGGGGCCCCAGGAGGGGGCTGTACTGATAGACGTCTTCTCGCTTCTGTCTCGTTGTCCTGTCACCCACTCCTCCACTGATGGGGCGTGGTCTGGCTCCCAGGAGACCATGTCCCCCCAACCCCATGGCCGTGGCAGTGGCTTCACCCCCCGGTGCCCTAGCTCACCCTGGGAGCACCTTTTTCTCCTGGCTGTGTGGTTTCCCACCCGGTTCCTCATTCCTAGCCCCATTTCTCCTGTCTTTCCTTACCTCTTCCTGAGAAAATCTTGTCTACCCCCAGGGTCGGAAAATCTCACTTGTCACCTGTGTCGGTGGCTCTTACCTCTGCATGCCCAGCCCGCGCTGCTCCCCTGGGACCCCAGCCCCAGCTCTTACGCAGCTGCTCGGCCGTCTCAGGGCAACTTATGACCTTGCCCTCCCCCCGGCTGGGCTCGCCCCCACCCCCACCTAGAGGAGCCGCACCTCCACTGGCCCCGAGGCTCCCACCTGCCCAGAGGTCACCCTTGGTGCTCTTGCCTTCTTTGCCCCATATTCGGTCTGTTCTTAACGCGAGTCTGTTTTGGGTCTTAGAAGCTCTGGAACCCCCACTTCTTCCCATCATCACCTTTCCGGACTACTCTGGTCTCCCCTTCAAATATGTTCTCCACGCAGCCAAGGAGATCTTTAAAAAAAGCAAGTCGAACCATGTCACCCCACTGCTTAAAACGGCTCTAAAGCTTTGGGTTCTTCTGAAGGTCAAGGTGGGAGCCTGTCCCGGGGTCCACACGGCCCTGTGGGATCTGGACCTGCCTTCTGCATTCCGGGCACCCTGGCTGCCTCGCTCTTCCATGCTCCTCCCTGCCCCAGGGCCTTTGCTTTGGCGGTTCCTCTGCCCGGAACACTCTCTTCTTTTGTATCTTCTCGGGAAGGTGGTCTCTCCTCTTAGACCGAGCCAGGCTCCTCGGTGATTGGAAGAACCAGGCTTCTCTCCATTTCTAGCTATTTGTGATCATTAGCATATCCTCCACCAGTAGAATCAGACATTAACTCCTGAGAGCAAAACCCTTTTTTCCCTCGCTGTTGTGTGCCCAGTGTCTTGCCTTTTAGTTAGAACTCAGCAGGTACTTGTTGGAGCAAAGGAATGAGCAATCAAAACCCCCGAGCCCAGCTCTCAGCTGATTTCTCTGCACAAACACTACAGGCTGGAAGGGAGGGGCAAGATATATTCAAAGTCCTGAATGAAAAAAGATGCAGCCTAGGATGCTCGATCCAGCAAGGCTATCCTTTAGAATAGAAGAAGAGATAAAGAACTTCACAGACAAGCAAAAACTGAAAGAGTTTAGCAACACTAACCCATA